AGGGTCAGTGCTGAGGGAGCGCCGCACTGTGATAGGTGCTGTCTTTCAGATTAGACCTTAACTGCCACCCTTTCTTCCCCCTCGGAGTTGTGGGGGGGTGGGGGGGGGCGGTGCCGCAGGGGAGGGGGCTTGTTGGTGTGAAAGATCCCATGGGCCCCTATTGGAAGATGAGGATAGTGGAGTTCTCCCTGAGGCCCTGAGGCCAAAATTTATCCCTGAGGCAAGAACAACAGGTGATCGGGTTCATTCCCATGCTCAGCAGTATGGGATCTTGCTGTGCGACAGTAGCCTGCTGCATTTCCCACAATCCAGCAGGGTGGTCCCATCTAAAGGAGATTCCACCATTGGGTGTGAAGTTTCGGGATGCCCTGAGGTTGAGGGGAGTGGGGGCCGTGGGGAATGATGAGCTGCGGTCATCGGGAAAGGGAGATATTTGTTGCTGGATTACAGCCTGGGATCTTACTTTACCCTGTGCTTGCAGGTGGGAGGCTCTGTCACTGTCTTTGCTGTACGTGGCCTACATCGTTGTGATGAAGTGAGTGAACTGCGAGCTTTTTTCCTGAAACATTTCCCCTCCTCCTTGTCCCCGTTCAGGGTCCCTGCAGCCGCTCCATCGGGATACAGGACAGACCTCAGACCGTCCGGCCCATCGGCTTCTGTCCTATCTCCACACGAGTCTCCTCCCAGCCACATCCTCCTGCTGCCGCGGCCTACCCCCCTATCACGGTCTATTCCTTCGTGCTTTGTGTGTTTAATGTCACACCTCACTACAGGAGAAATTAAACTCTGCTTGTCCCAGGCTCAACAGAGAAGTGAAATATTTTAGCAAAGTTACACTGGATTTCTCCGTGTCCCTGCTGTTTTAGTCCCAGGTTCACAGAAAGCAGTGAGGTGGGCCCTGCCCTGAACCCTGTCAATAAATAGATCCCAGCCACAGGTAAACAACGATTATCTTTTGTGATATAACTCTCCCGGTTCAAACTCTAACCCCATTCAAAACCAGCCCCCACACCCAACCAGACACACACACACACACAGACCCACACACACACACACACACACACACACAGACCCACACACACACACACACAGACACACACACACACAGACACACACACACACAGACCCACACACACACACAGACACACACATACACAAAGACACACACACAGACACAGTCACATGGATGTGCGCGCACACACACACACACGGAGGTGCACACGCGCGCGTGCGCGCACACACACACACAGGGGTGCACATGCGCGCGCGCGCACACACACATATGCAGGTGCACACGTGTGCGCGCGCGTGCACACACACACACACGGAGGTGCACACGCGCACACACACACGCGCGTGCACACACACACACACACATACACAGAGGTGCACACGCGCACACACACACACATACACATGGAGGTGCACACACATACACACACGCGCACACATGGACTCATGCATGCACAAACACACACTCACATGGATGTCCGTGCATACAGACACACACACACTCTCTCTCACACACACACACACAGACAGACAGACGCACACACACACAAACACAGACAGACAGACACGCACACACACTCTCTCACACACACACACGCACACACACACATCCTGTCTTTCACACACAGACACACACACACACACACACACACACAAATACACACACATGGACACTTACGCTAAAAAACATCGGTGTTATGGATGAAGGTGAAAACTGGGAAGTGGTTCAATGCCCCCTGACCTCTGGGTTCACTGCGATGATGGTTCTGATGGCCAGGTTTCACTGTTCTTCAATCTCCCTTCTCCCAGTCCCACTCACCTATTCACAAGAGGCACAGGCTGACTGGTACATTCACTGCAAAGTCTCTTTGTTACTTGTTAAAACTACAGCTTACATCAATTGGTGAGGGACTCTCTTCAGGTTTTAGGTCTTTCACCACGTGCCCCTGTCTAAGGTCCCGAGGCTTCTGCTGGTATCATTCACTCCCACAAGCTGTTCAGCTTCCCAGGAGCTGATCAGATCACTGTTGTCAGGCTGACAGTCTTTGTCATCCACAACTGGACACAACTGCCCAAACCAATCAGCTACTTGTTGCTGGCTGAATCTCACTTTGTACGCACTCCCTGGTGCTGGACCATCTGCAAATATCTCCCCCACTGCTTGGACAAAGCAGCTGTGTAAACACTGCACACAATGAGGGTCAGGAACTTGCTCTGAAACACTGCAGCAGTTTCACCAACCATCCTTGGTTTGCAATACAGTCCCTTTGCCATGTGAGTCAACAATGGGAATTCTGAACCATATAGAACATAGAACAGTACAGCACAGGAGCGGGCCCTTCGGCCCACAATGCTGTGCTGAACATGACACCAAATTAAACAAATCCCTTCTGCCTCCCCTTGGTCCATATCCCTCCATTCCTTGCATATTCCTGTGCTTATCTAAAAGTTCTTTAAACAGCCCTATTGTCTTCACCCCGACCATCCCCTGGCAGCATGTTCCACACACCTACCATTCTCTGTATAAAAAACTTGTCCCTCACATCTCCTTTGAACTTTCCCCCCTCACCTTAAATGTATGCCCCCCGTATTAGACATTTCAACTCTGGGAAAAAGATTCTGACCATCAACACTATCTATGCCTCCCATAATTTTATAGACTTCTATCAACTTCTATCCTCAGCCCCTGCCACTCCAGAGAAAATAACCCGAGTTTTTCCAGCCTTTCCTTATGACTCACACCCTCTAATCCCGGCAGCATCCTGGTAAACCCCTTCTGCACCCTCTCCAAAGCCCCCACATCCTTCCTGTAACGTGGCGACCAGAACTGAACACAATACTCTAAGTGTGGCCTAACCAAAGTCTTATAAAACTGCAACGTGACATCCTGACTCTTGTACTCAATTCCCCGACCAATAAAGGCAGACATGCCATACGCCCTCTTTCCCACCCTATCTACTTGTGTGGCCACTTTCAGGGAGCTATGGACTTGAACCCCAAGATCCCTCTGTACATCAACACTGTTCAGAGTCCTGCCATTAGCAACTGCTTCCAAAGCATTTACATCCTCTGTTCAGTGAGGAGACCAATACCGTGCACAGTCCTCCAGCTGTAGACTGCCCAGTGCCCACTAGACCTGGAATATAACCTCATCACATCACTCTTCACATCCCCTCACAATAAACAACATTTCTTTGGTCTTTCTGGGGAAGGGATTTATGGTGGGAGCAGGCCCTGGGTTCCTGGGACGACATAATCAATAGTTTGTCCCTCTCGATACTCAGATACAACATGAGAATTCGGTGTTATTTTGAGGGTCTGCGCTGTACTGGTCAAGGACATTCAGGAGGGGAGCAGCCGAGAGCACAGCAAGGAGGGAGCAACAGGAATGATACAGCAACTGTCGTCATTCAGCGATCAGGTCAGAAATAAATATACACATCACAGGACTCCTTATCCAATCCTGCACTGGCCCTGTACCTGTCCTGGGAGGGTTTGATGGGGGACAGTGTAGAGGGAGCTTTACCCTGTATCTAACCCCGTGCTATCCCTGTCCCCGGGAATGTTTGATGGGGGACAGTGTAGAGGGAGCTTTACCCTGCATCTAACCCCGTGCTGTCCCTGTCCCTGGGAGTGTTTGATGGGGGGACAGTGGAGAGGGAGCTTTACCCTGTATCTAACCCCATGCTGACCCTGTCCTGGGAGTATTTGATGGGGTAGGGACAGTGTAGAGGGACCTTTACTCTGTGTCTAATCCCGTGCTGTCCCTGCCCCTGGGAGTGTTTGATGGGGTAGGGACAGTGTAGAGGGAGCTTTACTCTGTACCTAACCTCGTGCTGTCCCTGTCCTGGGAGTGTTTGATGGGGGGACAGTGTAGCGGGAGCTTTACTCTGTATCTAATCCCATGCTGACCCTGTCCCTGGGAATATTTGATGGGGTAGGGACAGTGTAGAGGGAGCTTTACTCTGCATCTAACCCCATGCTGACCCTGTCCCTGGGAGTGTTTGATGGGGTAGGGACAGTGTAGAGGGAGCTTTACTCTGTAGGTGGGAATGCTGGATGTTGTGCCCTTGCTTTTCCCGACTGCAGGTCCTGGAGCCAGGGACAGTTCTGTGCTGATGGTCGATGAGCTCTTCTCTGCGTCCCCTCACAAGCTGAGCTTCCCCGAGGCTAGCCTCCGTATTATGATCACTCGTCACTTCCGGCCCAGGACCCGTCTCAGTATGGCCAGCCGCATGCTCATCAATGAGGTACCAGCTCCTGCCTGGGGCACACACACTGTAGGAAAGGCCCAGGCTCCATTTGTGATGCCAATTGGATGGGGAAGGATGTGTGCGTGTATATACCATTAAAAGTGTTGGGGTGGTGTTGTAGAGCAGAGAGACCTAGGGGTTCAGGTACATAATTCTTTGAAGTTTGTGCCACAGGTAGACAGGGGGTTAAGAAGGTGTTTAGCACCTTTATCGCTCGGACCTTTGAGTACAGGAGTTGGGGACGTCATGTTGAGGCTGTACAGGACGTTGGTGAGGCCTCTTCTGGAGCACTGTGTCCAGTTCTGGTCACCCAGTTATAGGAAGGATATTATTAAACTGGAGAGGGTTCGGAGGAGATTTACCAGGATGTTGCTGGGAATGGAGGGTTTGAGTTATAAGGAGAGGCTGGATAAGCTGGGACTTTTTCACTGGCGGGTCAGAGGGTTGAGGGGCGACCTCGTAGAGGTTTATAAAATTGTGAGAGATATCGATAAGGTGAAAAAACGGTTTCTTTGCCCTAGGGTGGGGGAAATTTCAAGACTAGGGGGCATATTTTAGGGTAAGGGGAGAAAGATTTAAAAAGGACATGAGGGGTAATTTTTTTTACACAGAGGGTGGTTGGTGTGTGGAATGAACTTCCTGAGGAAGTGGTGGATGTGGGTACAGTTACAGCGTTTAAAAGACATTTGGATAAGTACATGGATAGGAAACGTTTGGAGGGATATGGGCCAGGAGCAGGCAGGTGGGACTAGTTTAGGTTGGGATGATGGTCGGCACGGACTGGATGGGCCGAAGGGTCTGTTTCTGTGCTGTATGACTCTATGTGAAGGGGTTAATACGTTGGTTTCCATCAGTAAAGTGTTGGTGCTGCCAATCTCTGCCCCTGGCGGGGGATGTGAGCTCATTCCTCACTGATACCAGGACAGCAATCTGTTTTAGCAACACTCAGGTCACACAGATACAGACCATCTCCTGTGAGAATCTAACTATCTCCTCTTGACATTCAATGGTCACTGAAACCCCCCGCTATCAACGTCCTGGGGGTTACCACTGACCAGAAACTCAACTAGACTCACCACATAAACACAGGGGCTACAAGAGCAGGTCAGAGGCTGGGAATCCTGCAGCAAGTAACTCCCCTCCTGACTCCCCCCAAAGCCTGTCCCACCATCTACAAGGCACAAGTCAGGAGTGCGATGGAATACTCCCCACTTGCCCCTGGATGGGGGCAGCTCCAACAACACTCAAGAAGCTCGACACCATCCAGGACAAAGCAGCCCCCACTCGATTGGCACCACATCCACAAACATCCCACTCCCCTCCACCACCGACGCTCAGTAACAGCAGTGTGTACCATCTACATGGTGCCCTGCAGAAATTCACCAAAGATCCTCAGGCAGCACCTTCCAAACCCACGACCCACTTCCATCCAGAAGGACAAGGGGCAGCAGGTACATGGGAACACCGCCCCCCTGCACGTTCCCCTCCGAGCCCCTCACCATCCCGACTTGGGAATATATCCCCGTTCCTTCAGTGTCGCTGGGTCAGAATCCTGGAATTCCCTCCCTAAGGGACATTGTGGGTCAACCCACAGCACATGGACTGCAGCGGTTCAAGAAGGCAGCTCCCCCCCCACCTTCAAGGGGGCAATTAGGGATGGGGCAATAAATGTAGGTCTCGCCACATCCTAAATTAGTGAAAAATTGACAATGGGGTTTGCAATTTATGATGCCCCCACAGATGAATAACTGTGCTTGAGGCTGATGGTTGGGGAGCCATTGCAGAAGAGGTTGATGAGAATGGTTATGGGGGTGGCTGATGAGGACAGATAAGGGAGTTTGGGACTGTCTTCCTTTGAGGGGAGGAGTCCAAGGGGCAATTGGATAGAAATAAGGTGCAGGGTCATGGGGCAAAAGCAGGAGAATGGCACAGAGCCAGGATGCTCATTCAGAGAGCCAGTATGGAGACGATGGGCCGATGGGTCTTTGTGCGATGGTGTCAGTGGGCAGCAGGGAGAAGGTAATGTGTATATCGACCCCAACGCCATTGTCCCCCCTCTCCCCTCCCTCCACCCAGAGGCAGCGGCACATGGGGACTCGAGCCAGCAATCCAGACCCACACGTTTCCATCCGTATTCCCGAGAAGGAGCCGGTGGAAAATGGCACCGGTGCCAACACTGAGGCCGAGTGGAACCAAGGAGCTGGGGCACAGGAGAGTGAGGAGGCTGGCGCAGGAATCCCAGGGGAGGCTGAGGAAGAAGAAGGGAAGGGGGAACCAGATAGTGGCGGACCACTCCTCCCGTTCAAAATTCCAGGTACAGGGGCGCGGGGTCGGGGGGG